TCTCATTGTGTCTCTGTCTCTCTATCTCTGTCTGTCTGTGTCTGTCTATCTGTCTGTCTCACCCTCTCCCTCCCTCCCTCTCTCTCTCTTTTTATCTCTTCTTTCCTTCCTCTCTCTCACCCTTCTTCCTCTGCCTCCCTCTCTCTCTCTATCCCTTCTTCCTTTCTCTCTCTTTCTCCTCACATATGCTTATACATATGCCTCACAACTCCTAAAAGTTCCCTGGGTCAGACCAAGACTTTTTACTTCTCTGGCCACATCCTGTTTCCTCCCCAGTAGGTGTTTGCCGCAGACAAGGCCAGATCCAGGGCACAGGCTGACTCCTTCAGGGAAATAAAGTCCACTTTTGTGTCACTCTCTTCCCAGCCCATGCCCTGAAGTTCCCAGGAAAACTTTGGGGTTCGAATGGCGTGTCAGGATTGGTAAGCACCATCTGTAACAGGCTGATCTGAGAACCACGAGTGGATGTGAGCTATTGGCCATCACATCTCTCTCTCTGAATTCTCCTACTTAGTAGTTAGCTTTCCACACTGACCCAAGTGAGAATGTGTACTTCAATTCATTTCAATTTGGCTGAGATTCATTAAGAACCTACTCTGTGCCAACTAATTAGCCAGAAGCTAAGGATAGAAAAAATAAAACCTAAAAAATCCCTTCCTGCCTTCAGGAAGTTTTCATGCTACTAGAGGAAACAATGTGTACATAAATCAGCCAATATGAAATATATGCAAAGCATATATGAACCAGGTGATTGTCCCAGGCCAAAAGTGGCATCTCAGGGAAAAAAAAGATCAAGGACCAGCTGTTAGGGACAGCACTAAGCCAAGCCACTGGCTCAAGAATCCAGCCTTGAACTCAAGCCCCCCCCCCCCCAGAGAATCATACAAACACAGAATCTCAGAGTCGGAAGGCATGGCCAAAGTATCCCCATTATAACAACTGTGGAAAAGTCTAGGCTGTTTTGGGGACCTCCAGCGATGACCAACTCACTAGCTCCTCAGACAGCACATTCACTGGGGGACAGCTCTCAGAGTCAAGTTCTTTCCCTTGCCTTGGCTAACATATGCTTTCCTGCCAGCCACTTCTGCCCCTGGCTCCTCGCCTGGCCCTCTGGAGCCAAGCAGAATGAGACTAACCCCTCTTCCCACGTAAGAGCCTTTCATATATTTGATGACAGCCCTCATGTGACCTCTTAAATCTTCTCTCCTTAAAGCTAACTATCCCCATTTCTTTCAGCTGACCCTCATAAGGCACGGTCTCTACTCCTTCACAATTATGATCCCGTACCTTGGGCTATCTGTCCAATCTGTCAATGTCCTTCTTAAAACATGGTTCTTGAAAATGAGAGCCACAAGCCTTCAGATATAGTAGGAACAGGGAATAATACAGCAAGGCCATAGTTTCACTTGAGGACCAGTTTGGCACACTGGATGAAGAGCTAGGCTTGAAGCCAGTTGGTCCTGGGTGTGGTTCTGGCCTCTGATACCTACCGGCTATATGACCCTTTCTATGGACAGCTCTCTGAAACTACATTGCTGACCTGTACCCAGGAGTTCCCTGAATCAATGATATCACAAATCCATTCTCCCTCTCCATCATCTCACACCCTCTGGACCCTATGCTGCTCTCAGAGTAGCTGAATTAGCTTTTTTGACAGCCATGTGACACCGCTGACTCATGCTCAGCTTGCATTCCATTAAGACCTCCAGCTCTTTCTTATAAAAACATATCTAGCCATGCCTTCCCCACAGTTTCCAACCCTAGGGCAGGATTTTCCATTGATCCCTATTTAATTTCATCATGTTAGATCAGCCCATTGTCCTAGCCCAACTCTTTCACCCATTGTGTCAGCTTTGTGTCTTCTGCAGATTTCATAAGCAGGATCTCTATAGCCCTTCATCCATATCACTGATAAAAATGGTGAACAGAACAGAACAAGTTAGGCTCCCTCCACCCCAGCAGAATGTAAGCTCCTTGAGGGCAGGTGCTATTGCCTTGTTGCATACAGCAGACATTCAATCAAGGTATCACAAACTAAACTGAAAGGCTCTAACTGAGCATAACTGGAGAGACAGGCTTTGGGTTATCTAAGGAGAACCAGCCAGGACCACATACCATCATCCTTCCCCATGCAGGCTCTCTTCAGGTCAAGGGCAGACAATTAATTTCCTCAGAATACCATGCTAAATGTATAACTCTTGATAGCTACTCCCACTTTCTTCTCACTACACCTCCCTCTTCCCCCATTGCCCTCTCTCCTAGCCCGAGGATGCTCAGAACCTACTGGGGCTTGACCACTCACACAGCTTGGATGAGATGAGAATTAATTACCAACTCTGATCCTCCTGGTGAGATGGTCTTACCATCTGCCTTGCCTCAATGCTCCCAGCGCTGTCCTCTGACCTACTTATAGACCCTAAGAACCCCTCAGAGGGCCTTGCCATTTGCACTGCTGAGGAAACCCTGAGGGTCTCCAGGACCTTCCAGCTGCCCAGCAACTGAACTTTCTTTTATGATTTTTTTTTCCCCTAAAGGAGAATGTGAGCTGCTGGAGAGCACGGATTGTCTCGCTGTTTCTACTTATATCTCCTGTGCTTAGCTTGTCACATGGTGAGCGCTAAACAAATGTTTTTTCTATCATTCATTCAGTGAACACTGAGCCAATGTTTCCTGAGGGCACCATATAACCTACATATGCCACCTTGGGAAGGAACACAAGAGGTGCTAAGGAAGGATCAGATCCATTTTATAGGACGAGGAAGGTGAGGCCGGGAGTGGGAAGGTGGCCGGCCATCTGTGGATCCCAAGAGGCCTGTCCTGGAGCTCCTCCCATCACACCATGCTGGCTGCCACTAGGCTCTTGGATGGGGCCGTACCTGAAGCAGAAGGATGAACTGTGGAAACCTCTGGATAGGCTTCACCATCAGCCCATAGAGAGTGACTCGATCCGAGCTGCTCACCTGCCGCCTCTGGAGGAGAAAAACTCCTGTCATGCCCCAGTACTCGTCCCCTGTGCCCACCCCTATCCCCAGAGCTGAGCTGCCCTCCCCCCACCCAGGATCCACCTGTATGTGCCAGCAGCCCTGCCTCAGACAGTGAGGAGAAGTGAAGGCTCTGGGCCCTACACCTAGAAATTCTGTCAGCCTGAGCCCTTGAGATGGTCTGGAACTGTGGTTTTAGAAAGTTCATAAACAACTCATACTCTTTACTATGTTACATATTCCTAGTATGGCTGTCTGGACCTAGAGGGAACCTCAGAATGTAGAAAGGGCCCTTAGAACAGAGAATATCAGAACTGGGGGAGCCCTCAGAGCATACAATGTCAGAGCTGGGAGGGACCCTAGAACACAGGATGTCAAAGCTAGGAAAGCCCTTAGAACACAGAATGTCAGAGTTGGGAGGGCCCTTAGAACCCAGAATGTCAGAGCTGGGAGGGCCCTTAGAACCCAGAATGTCAGAGCTGGGAGGGCCCTTAGAACACACAATGTCAGAGCTGGGAGGGCCCTTAAGACACACAATGTCAGAGCTGGGAGAAATCTTAGAGCACAGGATATGGCCTTCCCACTTTCTGGTTCCCTACTCAGTCCTTGTGGAATCTACCAAGAAGCTGGCTTTCCAGTAATCCTTATGAGCACCTAGTACCAGATACTGGATATTATCTTCCCATCTTACGGCAGGCTCACTAAAATCAGGGAAGGGGAAGTCCTTCACCAAAATGACGAGCAGAAAGTAGAGCCAAGAATGGTGGCTCTGCTAAGCAAGTGGCCTGCCTTTCCCCACGAAGGGCTACCTGACTCATCCCATGACTGACCTTGAGGAACTCCAGGAATGCTGGCTTGGTCAAACAGGCTTTCTTGATGATGGACATGGCAGTGGTGAAGTTGTTGACATAATCACTGTACACATCTAAGACCATGGACTTGGAGAACTAGAAACAAAAAGGAGACAGTACAAGAATTGTTATACCCACTTCACAGATGGGAAAACTGAGGTGCAGAGAGTCATGGGGACTTTTCATAAGGTCCTATAGTTTTGAAGGGCTACAGACAGGTTATGTGCCATTCTTGACAGCAAGTCTAACACTCTGCCCCTTACCCTACAATTTCCTCTCCTTCTCACACGGGCCCCTGAGATTAGTGACTGAACATATAGAAGAAGAATGACCCAAATTAGGAGGACAGCGTCCTCAGTGTGAAGGCAGAAGGCCTGGGAGCGGTTGGAACGTGGAGCCACAGCTTCCTCAGCACCAGAAAGCCACGTCCCACGCTCGCTGTGTGACTCTGCACGCGTCATGGAACTCTCTGGGCCTGAGTCTCCTGGTCTAGAAAATGGAAATAACGCTCCTTACCCAGGCCTTGGCCCTGCACTGCTGTTTCACGGGAAACAATTTTCTAAGTGCTATAGCAAGGGGCTACAATGGGGAAGAGTGAACCACCCAGGTCAAGGGTATGCCCAGTATTCCAATATATTCTGTGTGCCACCATGGTGAGGCAGGGCAAGGAAGAAATGAGAAAGACTCCATACGCCCCCGTCCCTACGTCTGAGCCTCTCACACGTGGAACAGGAGTAGCTTGGGGAAGTTTTGTAGGATCACAGAATGTCAGAACTAGGAGGGCCCTAGAAAACAGGATGTCAGAGCTGGGAGGGCCCTGAGAACACAGAATGTCAGAGCTGGGAAAGGCATGTTGTCAGATAAGGGCAATAGTAATAACTTAAAGTGCTATATAAATACTGGCAATATAATATTAAAGTATAACAAAATTTGATATATTAGTATAATATATAATATTAATTTCATTCATACATACATATAAATAACCTCCAACTCAGCCCCCTTTTTACCCAATCAGATTAAATCCCCTGTCGGGTCCATCTGGCTCAGAGGTAACCTTCCAAAACAGACTGTGCTTTCTCTTTTTGTGGAGGGAGAAGGGATGAGGCCCTGGCAAGAAGAGAGATAGAGAGAAAGGGAGAGAGGGATCCCGCGGCCCAGCACCCACTCACCGAAGCCACAAAGAGGTCTCCAATTTTCTCTGTCGCGTCCCACTCAGCTACTCGGGACGATAGGGCAATCTGAAACATGGAGTGGCACTGCAGAATTTCCTTAAGGCGAAAGAAGACCACCTGGCACTTGCGGGCACTCAGCACCTTGGGCTCCATCTCCATTAATGGATTTCTGTAATCCTGTCAAAGGACGGTGGTAGTTAGAACAGGGGCCCTTTGCCCGTGGGAGAACCAGGCCCAGATCCCACACACGGGGCACCCACTCCTTTGCTGGACCAGGGGCTGGGCTCTTATGTCTAAATGGAGGTGTTTCTGCCTTCCACTTCAACCGACCATCCTCATAGCATCTGAACATATTAACCACATAGTGCGAGAGCAGAGGATTTCTTAGATTGGACTAACGAGGCAGGACATCACCATGAACAGAATCAAGGAGGATTGGTGTTCAAGTCCTGGCTTGCTGACCCTCAGAAAGTCACCGAACCTCTCAATGCTCCAAATGACTCTCTAAGACTAAAATTACACAACAGTAGCTGACCTAGAGTGCTAGGAGTTCCCTTTATCAGGGGGATCACAGATCCACTCAGTTCTACACACACCCCCAGTGAAAGAATGAGGAAGACAGTCTCAGACTTCAGTCTGATGGAGGAAACACTGTCCCTCCCACCATAGAGGCCCCAGATTGATGGGGAGGGAGGGTCCCTAGCCTCCTGGAATCTCCAGTCTGATGGGAGAGACATAGGCCCTGTCCTTAGGGAGCTCCTAGTCTGTTAGGAGAGGCAAAAAAAAATGGTATATAGCAAAGGAAACAGATTGGCTCTGAGTGACGGGGTGGGGAAGGGGGAATGAATGCCCGGATGGCTAAGAAAGTGAGGGGTTAACAATGAAAAATAAAACATTAAGTGATGAGAATATCGAGAGCCATAAGGGACCCAGGTTATCTCACACAACCCCTTCATTTTCCAGAGGAGGAGACTGAAGCTCTCAAAGACTAAATGACTTGTCCCAGTTCATGCACATAGCAGAGAGCAAAACTCGGATTAGAACCAAGGTCCTCTGATTTCAAACCCATGGCTCTTGCTTTTAGACCATACTGCTCCTAATTATGAAGGGAGTGGAGGACCCTTAGATCACATGGAGAGAAGATCTCGGGGAATCCTTAAGCTAGAGTTGAGACAAAGGGTGCCTGGTTATCAGCAGTGGTGGAAGAGTTAGCCTTCCCAAAAACGATGTGTCTCTGTGGAACTTCTTGGACACCATATATCCTGCCGATCTGCCATCTTTATGATGGCTCCAGCTTTGGCCTCTTCCACTAAGTCTTCACATGTCCCATGAGGCCCCCAAATTCCTAGCCAACTACAACCGGGTGTGACTTATAAAAAGTCTTTTTCTCTGTGTATATAACCCAAGGCCAAGCATGGGACTTTGTTCATCATGAGGTCCCTTCAAAAATGTTCAGTTGAATTACAGCAGTCAAAAGATCCCCATGGAGACTTGTTGGGCCTTCAGCCCTGGTTTTCCTGGCAGGACAGGAGCAGGAACTCCCTCCAGTTCTCCAGAAGTCCCTAGAGACTCTCTCCTTGGCATACCTGAAGGATCCGTTTCAGGGACTCCACATAGCTCCCCTCACTCTGCACAATGGACCGTAAGATGTGACGTCTCACCACCTGTGAAGGTCAAAGAAAAACCAGTGAGTCAATCTGTCCCTCATATCTAGCCTCTGGGTGCCCAGTCCTATCTTAGGGGACAAGGAGCCAAGGCCCCTGAGATCTGGGAGCTCTTAATTCAAGAGCAGAGATATCCCTTCCTCCTCCAGCTTGTTCTCTGAAGGTCTATTCTGACCAGGCTAATTAGTCCTTTCCCTAGCAAGTCCCAAATCACCTTCATATACCTGGATGGCATAAACACAGACAGACTCCACGGACAAGGATTCAGAGGAAAGAAGTCAATACCTTTTATTTTGGCTAGGCAATGGGGGTAAGTGACTTGCCCAGGGTCACACAGCTATTAAGTGTCAAGTGTCTGAGGCCAGATTTGAACTCAGGTCCTCCTGACTCCAGGGCTGGAGCTCTATCCACTGCACCACCTTGCTGTCCCAGGTCAATACTTTCTAGGCTTCCTTTCTAACAGCGACCCAGGTCCATGGGCATCTGTGCAAGGTCAATGGGTTCTATGATGATAGCTGACATTTTAGATTGTTTTACTGTTTGCAAAATGCTTTACATAGAAAGGAAATGAGCCAGTTCTCTTTGGCCCCAAACGGGAGAACCAGGACTAATGGGAGAAGGGGGAGTTACAAAGAGGACAATTGAGACCAGATATCAGGAAAATCTTGAGCTGTCCAACACTGGAATGGGCGGTTGGAGAGGAGGTGGAGTTCCTCCTTACTGAAGGTCTTAAGACAGAGCCAGGATGATCATGATGGTGGAGGAGCGGGGAAGTGGGGAGGGATCGTAGCTAGAACCACAAAGATGATCTAGAGATCATCTAATCCAAACCCTTCATTTCACAGAAAATTTCCCCTGTCTCCTTCTAGGGGATACAAGGGGATCCTTCTAGGAAGACAAGTTGAACTAGATCATTGAGGTCCCTCTTAAATCTCAAATTCTGTGAGTCTATCATTCTGTAATTTATCTCATTGGCTGTCCTCCCACCCTCCCCACACACACATACCCAACTCCTGTAACATTTGTAAGTCAGTGTAGATATTATCATCACCTTTTTTATTTTTTTTCATATCATCACTTTTTTTTTTCAGATAAGGAAAGTAAGTCTCAGAAAGGTCCCAGAGTCAGCAGGCAACAGAGATTGGGGTTAAACCCAGGTCTGACTACAAGTTCAATCTTCTTTCCCCTAAACAATATGGCTTTTAACAGGCAGCTTTCATCTTTCAGTAGGCAACTGGGTGGATTTTCCTCTTCCCTCTAATTTTCCCCTCTCTTATCCCACTTATTTTTTCCCTTTTTTTGCCTTCTCTTTTGCCCATACCTGAGGTTTTCCAATGTCACTCAAGGGCTCTACAGAGCCCCACCAGTAATGATCTGGAACAAATAGCCATCAGCCTGTAGGCAGGTCATTTTCTCTCAAATTTCCATGTAGTTGAAGGGTTCTGTAACCCACGGCCTCACTCTACCCTCCCTAGCAGTTACCAGCAGCACCCCTCGATCCATAATGATCTTATTCTCAGATTTAGAATATGCCATGTTCAGCTATATTGGAATATACTATATGGCATATTAGAATTATCAATATTAGTTATGTTAGAATATAGTATATTTGTTCAGTATACTACATAGCTCCTTGGAGAGAGTGATTGATTACTGTTGGGCACAGAAGATGCTAGAATGCTAAGAGGGAAGGAAATAAGCATTTATATAATGCCTACAATGTGTCTTTAGGAGGAAGTGCTAGTCAGCCCCAGGAAAAGAACACTGTACCAAGAGTCAGGATACCAGGGTCCTAGAACCCAACTCTGCCACCAACTAACTACCTCTGGGACCTCAGATGGGTCTCTTCTCTCTGGGCCTCTACTTCCTCATCTATAAAACGAGGAGCTAAAAATATGTGTGTGTGTGTGTATGTGTGTATGTATATGTATATTTCCTCTAAGTTCCATTCCTGTTCTAATATTTGAAATTCCATATTCTAATATTTGGTGTTTCAAGGTCCCTTCTAGCTCCAACATTCTATGTTCCCATTTATCCCACATAACTCTAAAATTCTAAGTCCTAAGGATCCTCCCAGCTACAACATTCTATGTTCCCAATGTATCCTGTGAACCTCTAAGATTCTATGTTCTGAGGTCCCTTCCAAATCCAACATTCCATGT